AGCCTCCTTGTTATTCCCATATCTACCCCAGCAACAGGGTGCCAACTTGTTTCAAGCAAGTTGCCGATCCTAGAAAGTTGTAAACTTTTTAAAAATATTAGAAATTGTGTGTATGTACAGTACATGTACATGCCTAATCATTCAATACACTGGTGTACATAATGTACGGTAGCTGCCTGTGTGTAGCTTTATCCTAGAATCAAAACCATGGGTTGGTTAACCACAGGAACAACGAAGTACTTGTTACACAATCCGAAATAGAAGCTAAAATCTGTCGTCTCAACCTTGGTTACATTATACGTGTGTATTTACAACCAAAACCACTACCTGTACAAAGAATCACACTACTAGATGCACACAAAGATGCCATTGGGACTGGCCATGTGTTGTCAAACTAAAATTGTAAAACCATAAACACATGATGTGCTTGACAAAGTTGGATAGCGTCGTTCCACAAACAGGAAGTTGCCGATCAGTAATTGAAAAAGATAGTGCGGAAGCTTACTCATGCATGGACAAGTCACCGGTTCTGATCAACAAATAATTTTGAAGTGAAAGTGGCATAGTCAAACTCAAACGTGGCAACTTAAAATTGGTTGGTTTTAAATTGGGTATAATCATCTTACATGTAACTTGAAGATGTTTTGAAGTTTCAGAGATTTTTGTCACTTTAATTTTTTTTTTTTTGGGGGGGAAGGGGAAACCTCATAAATGCAAATTTGATGTTTAACAGCATGGATTCCATATGTGAACTTTCATATTGCACAGTGTTTCGCAACAATTTGGCTATTTTATTTTGCAATTTTGGTAACACCATGCATCTGCAACGGCATCCACGCAAAGTATATGCAGTTATCTATAAGATGGCAAAAATCAATTAAGTTGATTAGTAATCTCACTGACAGGATGAACAGTAGTAAAAATAGGACCAGGAAAACAAAGCATCTCAAAATAACTCCAGATATCGCAGATGCAGGCCAGGTGGTAATTAATTTTCAAACATTAACTCCATTTTACGTCAAAGTACCCCATTGTGCAAAAATATGATGTGGAGGTGATTAGAAAGGGGTATCTGCAATTAATTCCAAAGTCCAGCCGTATTTAGGTATTTATTTTAAATGGGGACATTTATTTTTGGCCAGCTTGCTTTAAAATAGTTGCAGTCAGGACCATTCATGTATGTCCAGATGGGTTCAAAGCCTATTTTTGTTGTCTTTTCGGCAGATTTACACTTTCCTTTCTATATTGATGCCATGTGTGATGTAAAAGACCTGGGGACCGAGGCGTTTTACGTCGATACGCCATTCTCCACAAACATGACGAAATAGCCATCTGGGTGCAGAGATGCAGCCAACAATGTCGCAGTAGTGGAACTACAGGGACAGCCCTTTTTTGTGTGCTTGTATGCCTGTATGTGTGTGTGCGAGAGGGGGAGCCACTATCTTGTCTCTAGAGCTATTTTTGTCAGGCTCTAAAATGAGTAGGCACAGGCCTGTGTGTGTGTGTATGTGTGTGCTATTCATAGCACCATCTTGAGAGCACAGCGTCTTCATTCCTATGGGCATACTGCAGCTTAATATCTTTTGCATGTATTCAGTGCTGAATATCAAATCAGGGGCTGCTGACGTTTATGGAACTCGTCGTCCAAAGGAATATCATCTTCTGTGGAATTGCCTTGTGTATTTAATTCTTTCTTTGCTCTCAAAATAACCTATTTTCATCCGAGGTACTTGGAATTTGTTAGGTTTATATTCAAGCATTGCAGGAAAGTCTTTTGTCGTCAGATTTCCTTCAAATATTTGTCTTCATCTGAAAACTGCCAGTAAATACTGCCAGATTCCCGGCAAGCCATTCACAAAATTGACATTTGCTTCTATATATTTTGCTCTTCACTTGTTGTGTATTCAACAGAAATGTGGTTCAATTTAAAGAGTACTTGGTAAATGATTACTGATATTCTCTTGATCCAAAGAATTGCAGAAATGTGAAACCATGTTGGCAAACATCAGCTGTCTTTGAAAACTAACACTGCAACACGTTTAAACTCTCTTAGTTGTACGCAAGATCTATTGGATATTCACCAAGCGCTAAGGTCATGTTACCTTTAAATGTATATTTGATTAAATTCATATAGGCCTACACTACATATTTCAGAGTGCTACCTAAAGCATTTGATTCGATTCTAATGTGATTTGGAACTGAATTCCCTCAGTGGCACGCATACATTTCACAAAGAAAATTCAAGAACAGCTTGCATGCGACTCCCAATGTATCTCGTTTGACTGTGCATTTTATTCTCAATATTGTACGAATAACAAAAAGGGGAGAGAATTTGTCTTACCCTTGGAGCTGTGTTTTCCGTCATAAAATACGGTGATTATGTTCCAACATTACAGAGATTGCCGTAAAATTTTCCGACTCGACCAAATCGTCTTCAGCACTTTTCCCCTTCGTTGATAGGGCGGCCTCGAAATTTCCAAAGAATTCCACGGGCTGAATGGGAAGTTGCACAAGCGTGAACGGTCCCGCAGTGATCGCCCGTTGAACCCGGAGTGTTTTGGTGTGTTGTGAATTCCATGAATGGTTGCTAGGGCCATGCCAGGCCAGGAATGTGGGAAAGTGGGTCGCTGCGCGGAACTGTCAACCGCAAAAGAATTTCGCGGCATGTTCAGATGTGGTTTGGAATTTCGGGGGGAGGGGAGGGCTTGGCTGTTTGTTTAGACTTAACAATTAGATTGGGGAGCTTACAAGCGTTACCGGCAGGGGAGGGGACGGGACACCACTTTGTGGTTTATAATTAATTTACATATAACGGTACAAAAGAGTCTTCGCTGCTAAGGTTTAACCGGCTGCTTTGAATCCGTGGGGGCAGTGACCTTCTATTTATTCACATTACACATGTGTAGTCAAGTTGTGTGTAGATGTTTTTAACATACAAACAACGTAATGTGTTATAAGCGATGCACACCACAATCTCCCGCAGAATGTGTACCATTCCGTAACTTGTAGTTACAACATAAAATGCTACTCATACGCCAAAGCATCTTAGTTTTCATGACTCTTTTTTAAAAACCAATTCACATCAAGTGGAAAATTACACTTTAGCAGTGAATTTTAATATCTATTGAGGATAAAAAATTGAGTCATCGGACACATTTTTGTGATAAATATTGGCAACTAAGTTCCCATCCATTACAAACGTCAGTTGAGGAGACGATCTTTTGACATATTCATTGAGGTTAAATGAAAATAATGGGCAAACTAAAATGTGAATTTCGATTTTGACGATATGTAATCCAAAGTACACCCGTGTATGCGAATCAGACCAACCTGCAGCGCCTAGTCAACATCCCAAGGCCATTGTAGGCCTGCATGTAGATCTCAGATAATTGATTTGCATACCTGATGTAGGGATATGGGAAACCACAACGAAGGTCACGTTGCGCTTATAAAATGTACATTTACATGGGCAAGTACTGTACATGTAGGCCTATTTACGGTACGTGTACGGTAGACAGATGCACATGTACAGTACATTGTACATGACAGTACTGTACATGCTCGGTATTCTATGGTGGACATGACATGTCCTGTCCTGTGCATGGATTATACTGTCAGGGGAAATTCCGCTTATGTGGTTCTAGTGCAGTCAGAAACAGGGAAGTTCCGGGTCATATATCAGGTCTAGTTTTGTCCTCACGATCCAAGTAAACCACAGACGGAACCATAACTAATTCATGGTACCATACGCAATGGACAGGAAAGTGTACGTAGACAGGTAGTATGTCCATGTTGGTACGTGCTGAACTTAGTTAGACAGGTTGTGGTTTGGGATTGCCCTAAGTCATTTTTTTCTGATCTGTTTGATGTAGTTGATAGGTCGTCGTCCTCGAGATTTCGTTTATCTTGTTTGATGAAGTCGATAGTCCTGGTGGCGAGGCAAATGGAACCACCAATATTTTTGCATTGCCCACAAAAACGTCAAGATTGTAGATTAAAATCTTATGTTAGCAATATCCAGATTATTTTGACCTGGTACCAGTATGCCTAGTTTTTTGTAAGATAAAATTAAAAACAAAAACAGCGAGGCATGTCTTTGCAATGATGCATGCACATTACCATTCAAAAACGGGTGAAAGGTGACAATTTGTAATTGGTCATTCACTCACGGTGATGCCTTAAGGCAATCGCAGAAAATGCTGGAGAAATCAGTCCATGCAGGTCTCTCAGGTGTAAAGAGTTTAGAACTTTTGAAATATTATTGGTTGCATGCACATGTACATAATAGTACTGCTGACAGGCTCAGAGCATGACTGAGGGGGAAGTCACACATTAAACTCTTCAGGACTGAGGTTGTGACGCATACCATTCGCTGCTACAACAGGGATTTCCTTAGCTGCCGCACAAACTCATGACTCACTTAGCAATACTCCTGGAGACCAAAGTTTACCACTAAATATTATTAATCACTTTCGTTGGTGCAGGTTACACTAAATTATTCCTTAAATCACCAGATCTTTTCCAACAGTGACAAATGTGAGCGGACATTGAGCTGTAGTTTTGTCGACTTTTTAAAAATTGGTATTAAGCATTTGCCTGCTGTTTAGTACATAAAATCCTAGGGTACCGGTATACATTTGCAAGTACACTGAATAAGCATAAAAAAAACTAATGAGCATCGATCGACTGAATTATTGAAATGACAGGATAAAAGTTTTGCTAAAAATATCAAAGAAAAGGAGTGTATTCTTTTAGTTTTACTCATTACTTCTGAAGCTGAATCGTCTCTGTTTGGTGAAATGAACGCAGCTTCAGATCAGGAATTTTAAAGCGTGTAGCATACGGGAAGGGAAATGCACACATGCAGACTGATAAAAAAATATATTCGATAAATGGTCGGTGCGACTATTTTAGCTGCCCCTGACGGTCACACGCATCATGGCGGGACAAAGATAAGCATGCACGTTGATAATACACACGACAAAATAACAACAGCTTACCATGCCGGCCCGAATCCTGATTATCCACCGGGACGCCATTTGCAGCCTCAGAAGCACTGGCTGCAATGCCCCCCAAAAACAGGTCCACGAAAATCATGTCAGAGGAGACCAGATGGTATTTCAGGTCACGAGAATTGTGTAACTGTAGTAACAGGAATACACTGGCAGTGTTCGTCCTGTGCACTGAAAACAACGACCACCATATCGCAGCACGCTTACAGAAAAAGGCAAGGTTTTTTTTACCAGGAATTGAATACACTTAGCATAATGGGGGTTAATGCAAACTCTCGCCACGTGAACTTGTAGTATCAAAGCTGCCTCTGTTTACTATTCAGTTGTGCCTAGCGATTCCCAGGAACCGAAGCCCAGTCGGACCTGTTCGTTGATCTTCGGATTGTTTATCCAGGCGTGGCATATACTCGATGACGTTGCAATGTCATGCAAATTAGTCGGAAGTAATAAGACTCGGCTTGCTTACGAAAGGAACTCCTCACCATATTTGGAAGTTGCCGGAGATCCGAACTACCGATTGAGCCGCCGTGATGGTCGATTCCATTAGGTTCCAGGTTGTAGGGGTGTGAAGAAGTGCGGGATCGTAAAGCACCACCGGTTTGAATTATTTGAAACAGAAGAGTGAAAATCTTGTGTATAAACATTGAGTAAATAAACTCATTTTCTTTAAATCGATCACCCATAGGTGGAAATTGATTGCAGCTCCCTAGTAAAGTAGGTGCTACTTGATCGCAGTCTCTTCATTAAAATCGGCGAACCCACAACCTTGCCTGAAAGCACACCACCGGTCTCTATAGTGATGACCTGAATTGCTGACGTCAATCTATTCATTTGTCGTCATTCTATAGCCACCCTAATATGGACCGCGCAGAGGGATGAATGAAAAATGAATAAATATACCGAGCAAGTCGAAGCGTAATCATTCCACACTTCGGCACTTCTCGATGAACATCGGAAATAGTCGTTCTGTCGTTGGGACTTGCTTTAATATTTTCCGAGGTCTATGAGTTCTTTATGCTCTGTGGTCATTTTTTTTTCGACGCCTTGTGTTCGTCGTGCACTTGTGATAACTGCAGGACCGTATGAGCAAGAAACAACAAAAATCCGGCGAAATGCGAATGGATTTGGACACCCTTTCCCAGGCTGCGCTAAGTCAATTTGACACGAGTTACATCAACCAGTCGTTCTTTGGATCAAAGTCATTTCCATCAGCAGTCAGCGACGAATTCGCCAGGGCACTTCCCAACCCCATGGCAGTGCCAAACACTGATCTGTTCATCGATTGCGAACAAGGGGATCTGCCAAACTTTACAGGTGTGTAATCTTGATTGTCAATTTTAATTGTAACTGTTAATTAGTGAATTAGTTATTAAAATTATTTTGTGTTATGCATGGTCACTTATCTCAGCCTCATGGTTTTATTTTTGGCACGTGTTTACAGCGTGAGTGTTATATACTTGAGATTGACTTGTAAACACTATCGAGTTAGTTTTAAAATCGCTTTAGGTTATTTAGGTATTACTGTAAAGCACTCATCCAAAGCTCATCGCTTGGCATGAATGTTCGAAATAGTTCTTGGTCTGATATTTACTCATTTAAATTTAAAATTTTGAACTTCATCTGATCATAATGTCTGGGTATAAATGAACGTAGGTGGACACTTGGTCTTTAGTTTTTTTGGTTGAAATTATCAAGCCACATCAGTATGTGGGCGAGCGCTGCACATGTTTGCACCACCGGCACCCACCCACCTGATCGGAACACAGACAAACCTTAGTACCGTCAAACGCTGCTTAGCGCTCCACGACTTCACACCCATGCACACGGTTAAAGCAAACAGCCTTGGTCTTTCCCCAAGTGCAAGTTGAACGATAGCTAACCCCATTGTTAACGCACGGGCTCCGTGCCCTCAGTGTGACATGACATTGAATATCGCGCACGGTACTGGAAATCCGTTTGTACTCGTTTGCTGTTTTTGTGCACATCGTCATAGACGACCTGCTCGAATAGGCCAGCGCTTTTTATATCCCTTTGTCCCAGTCAGTGGGCTATAGTTCCGGATATGACAGTCGGATGCTGTTGCCTGTCAAAATATGCAATTTCCACTGTTAATTCTGAACTTTCAATTTTTACATCGGAATTTTGCACTCGTTTGTACTTGGAATACGGTTGCTTGTTCAGTATGTATAACTCGTTTAATGTATACAATAAAATCGATATTAGACAATGAATACTTATTTTTTTTCTGTCTTATCTTTTCATTTCAGGCAACATGGAAGATTTTGAATACAAACACACGGTCACCGACCCAAGTTTTGAGCATGATCACAACATGAACACCCGGAGCGATACGATGCCACTTTGCTACCATGGCACCATCACAACAACGGCGCCGCAGATGTCTCCGGACCCTGACAGTCCCGATGGGTCTCCCAACCCGGCCTCTTGGTGGGCTACTACAGACCAAGGGATGCTAACTCCAACAGTCATCGGCAACATTGTCAGCAGGTCCAACACACTCATCAACGAGGCAGCTCCAAGCGGCAGCCAGAGTACGGAAACCCAGCGCCTGAGCCGAGAGGAGACATACACCCCGGCAAGTTCGTCCAGCTACGATGTGATCTGCACGGAGCCCCTGCCAATGTCATCCCCAGACTTGGCCACTGACACGGAACAACTTCCCCCATATTCCTGCGCCTACACACAGGCCGCTGGTTTGTCCTCGTTTGACACGCTGGTGGACACACTGAGTAGTGCCGCCTGCGCTGCCGAAACATCGGCATCACAACCAGTAGGCACTCAGTTCAACGAGCAATCCATAAAAATCGACGGGGTTCTGAAATACACCTGGCCTGTCTCCTTGGAATCGAGCTCGGCCTTTGGGCGACCCGTTCAGCAGCAGCAGCAGCATGCTGTAGTCTCGCAACAACAGCAGCAACCTCACTCCCTGAAAATGTCTCCTTCGTCATCTCGCTCTCAAGCCTCGCCTCAGTCGGTTCCTTGCCGGACTCATACACAACAACTGGGTGAAAGTATGTTGCTGCAAATATCGAATCCAGTCGACATCTTGAACCAACCGTACGCCTCAAATCTCCCAACTGCCACCACAGGCAAAAGCCCCAAACCCCGAAAGTACATCAGTCGGCCGGGTAAGACCCCACCGCATGAGCGACCGTACGCATGCCCTGCCGATAGCTGCGATCGACGGTTCTCTCGCAGCGACGAGCTCACCCGTCATATTCGCATCCACACGGGACAGAAACCATTTCAGTGCCGGATCTGCCTGAGGAACTTTAGCCGTAGCGACCATTTGACGACCCACATCCGCACCCACACCGGTGAGAAACCGTATTCCTGTGAAACGTGTGGCCGTAAGTTTGCCCGGAGTGACGAGAGAAAGAGGCACTGCAAAATCCATCTTCGGCAAAAAGTTAAAAAGGAGTCAGAGCAGATGAAAGGAGCCAGTTCATGCAGTTACCAGTTACCTCACACCTCCCCCTCCTCGTCCCCATCGCCCTCCTGTTCGTTACCAGCAAGCACAATAACTACCAGTGCGTCTTAAAGACGCTCAGTAAATCTGGCGCACCCTGTACGGCTGGTCTGACTGGCCAAAAATACTTTGAAAACTCTTTATAACCTCCAATATATCTAATTGCAAGCATAACAGTTCAAGATAAACCGGCTGTTCTTTGTATTCAGCAAAATATTGTCAAGACACAAATCAAGTTTCCCTCTTTCGGTGATTGACAATAATAAGAAACGGACTAACCTTTATATTTTTAATGAGCGTTTAACGGTGTGGCGTAAGGAAATGCGGAATTGTATGGATGTGTACAAAATGTATACAGAATTTTAACTCGAAGCACACTTTCTTGGGACCAACTTGCTGATGGTAGAAACTAGCACTTAAAATGCTCAATTGTTGGTGCAAAGTAATTTAATGTTCTTTGTCTTTTTGTCGCTCGTAGACATCGAACCTTTTCTTTCTGGTGTTTCTTGTCACACTTAGTATTTAGCATTCTGTAATTATTAAATCAAGCTCTTATTGGGGGTATTCACGGCTTTTGATTTAAACTAAAATGTCACAGGAGCCTCTCGGTGTTCGAAATCTTCCTGGTTTTTGAGCACTGAAATTCACATTCCTCGTGACAGAAACATTATAGCAATGCACGCGTATAAAGCACTCTCTTATAACCATTATTGGTAATGATGTATAATCAAAAAGACTACATGTATTTACATTAAGAAAAAACACTTTTAGCATGTTGAATAAAAAACTATTGCTCGGATCATTTTGCGATACCTTTGGGGTTTTGCATGTTCACCTGCCCAGTGTTTCGTTGGTAAAACGTTATTTAAAAACAGAAAGATAACTTGACATTTGGGAACGTCCAGAAACCATTTGGGAACGTCCAGAAACCTTACGCAGAACTCTCGGTTGATGATGTATGTCGCCATTTTATGGTTTATCTCCGTAAGTAATCGTCTAACAGTGCATCAGGATTGCTTGAAAAAATTGATGTCAGAGTATTCTCTAACTGGGAGCAGGCTTCCACGTTGGTTGAGACCTATAATGTAACACGCAATTACCACCAATTGTAAGAATGACAGGTTCAGATACTTAAGTCGCTTTCGTTTGTACGTTTGTAAACAAAGTAAAGCAGCCTGCAGGTTCGGGATTTATTTTTATTTTCAGCCATCCGTTTTGCATTTTCGTTTGATAATTGACCACGTGTAAGCTCTTTTCCCGAAACTACTTCCGCACTGTAGATCACTTGTCAGTGTTTTAATATAACATTTCACTTTAGTTTCTGTATCACTTAAAAGATAAGATAAATGGGAAATAAAAAAGTGCTTTTTGCAGATTATTTTGCTCAGAGATTTGTCGGTACCCAGCTCATTTTGGATGTTTTTAATTTTGGATGTCAGTTAGAAATGCTGCAGTTATGGGTACGCTGTTTTATGTAGCAGACATGGGTGTGTGTGCGTGTGTGTGTTGACGTTTGAACCGATTATCAGTCGTCAAGCATGCAGCCATCACTTTTGGGGATGTGCGATCGAAGTACACACAGAAAATTAAAAAAAATGTGCCTTGTGGTGGTCTGTTTTGGAAGTCAAATCAGACAGAGACAGGTCTGTTGAATCGAAAGAATCAAGGTACCGTTGGTTTGGAACAGTCGATTCTGTTGATTCGTGGGTCCTGAACTGTACTGATTTAAAGTCTTCTGCAGAGAAGACGGTGAAATCCATTCCAATCGCTGAACCATGCCTGAGTATTATACAATTTCAACATTATATAGACACATTTGCTGTTCTTTACCAAGAATCTTTGTTTTATGATGTAATCAATGTAAAAGATCTGATGTAAATGATACTTATATGTAAATGATGTTGTACTATATACTGAAAGACGGAAAAATACATGTTAAGGGGAAGAATAAATTATTTTTGTCACCCGGATGTCAAAAATATTGTGTCGAGTTTTGTCATACTTGTTTGAAGTTTGTTTTCATTGCTTTGAAATATGCCATTCCAATTCCTGATCAGGTTGGCTTCAGCTGGCCCTCATGACGCCCACGTGAAACTATAGTTGAAATAAGTCGATTTTAATAATTCATTCGACAATATCTCTAAATTTTATCCTAAGGACGACCATTCGATTGTGTTGAATGCTGTCATTATAATTTGAAGCGGCAGTATACACTGCTCAGTGCAGTGCTCGCAAGTTATTTCCAAACGTTCAGACTGCTTTTGAGAAGTTTCGGGTCTTAACAGATTCCATGCGTGATTCACCCAAAGCGTGCCTTTAGAGTACGTTTCTGTGAAATATAAATTAAAGAAAATGTTAAATGAGAAAGTTCCAGACCTTTTTTTGTAAGTGATACCAAGGGAGTTACAGTGACATTGCATTCATACAATCGCTGCCATTCATTTCTCATGAATCACTGATATAGGTTCTTGTAACTACAGCGGGTCGATGTTGTTCCACATGTATGTACACGCAAATCGTCCGAATTCTTCACGATGTCCATAATTCCTTGAAGGTCGCTTCAACGGGGTAGAAAGTATGAATCATACACACAAAGAAAGAACAGTAACTGCTCCAGCGTAGGTTTAAATTAATGGTAATACTAAATGAATCGCATATCAATACACCGGGATCCTCAAAAAAGTATAGTTATGTTGCTTAGAGTTGCTGTAAATTAGTGTGGGTGGGGATCTTTAATTAACGGAAGTAAGTTGTAGCGTTGCTCTTATGGTAGAAATATCCTTATGGACTGTTAAATTTTAGTTAAACAAATGTTTAAAAATCATTGATTTTGAAGGACCTTTATACAGATTACCGTGAAAATTTCCCCGCGAGATAGTTTTTAAAAGCATACAGAACACCAGTTCATCAAAAAGTATCATCACTGTATGCCAGTACATGTACAGCAATAGAAAAAACATCAGCCAAGGTGCAACTGAAGTACATTTTCGTAAGAAATTCAATATATGAGCAAGACAAAATATGATCCTGTAGGAGATCTTTGAACAGCACCCTGAAATACAGTAGGGATCTAATATTTTAGGTATCTTTAAATTGAATGTTATATGTGTATATAAAGTTGTGTTTGATATATATTCCTGTATAAATCTGGAGATTTATACTTCATGTCAGTTGCATCGTGAATAGTAGCAACAGGTCACCCACTCACTTTTGGTATGATTTTTTTAACAGAAAGTTTTCATACTTTGTAGTCACTAATCTAATTCCCTTGTCCAATAGTTGTTGTTTTTTTAAAAGTTTTTTGGCGAAGGTAGGCAAAAGATTTGTCTCGAACATTCGCCCGAAAGTGTCATTCTAACAAATGGTACCGACGTTCATTTCATTTTGATGCACGCAAAGTAATTGGGCACCGCATCATCCTGCAGTCAAATGTCTCATCAGGCAAATACTTCACAGGGCTCGTCATTGTTGCAAATTTAGATTCGCCGCATTCTTGGATTTTCTCCGTTGGTCCATGATATTTATTCTTAGTAAAGATAGCATTTATTTCGTATGAAAACTGAGCATGTCTTCAGTTACTGCAGTAACTGTTGCCCTGTTTTTTTAGAGCATGTTATCGTCGCAAACGGTCAATCCTCCGTAAATTGTCTTTTGCTTCTAAGATTAAAGAACAAGAAGGTCTGGATGCTTATTTTTGGGTTGAATGAAACTCCAACTGTAGATATGCGCACTGGTCACAAAGAACTGGAGTCGATGACAAAAGCAGTCAATTTTTTTTTATTAAAATTAAAACATATACCTATGATTTGAAAAACCAGACTATTTTTTTTTAAAGAAGAATAATTCAATAAACTGTCGTGCATCATTTTAATTCAGCAAAAGTCACCAAATAGTACGTTACACATGTATATTACACTAAGTTAAGCCTTATCTCCTCACCCCCACAAACGATGAAAACATATTGATGCTTGAACAATGCGGGGGCTCTTGGAAACACAGGGATTTTTATGCAGAGTAGTCCTTTCTTTTTTGGGTGGGCGGGTGGGGGTCGAATCTTTACACGCGCTCCATACGGCCATATGCTTAACACTGCTGCAGTTAACTCAGCGATGAGTTCGTCGCTAGATGAAAACGTATCATCGGAAGATAAGTCAGTAAGATAAGTCGGAATATAAGTGCATACCGTACCTATAAGGGGATGGGGCTCCTTACAGCTAAACCCTGAGAATATATTCAGAGGATGATTCAATCAGTCAGGCACCTTCATTCCTACTGTTAAGCGTATACAACATTGTAAAAATTGTGTTCAGGAATGAAACATAATCTTGCTGTCTGTTGAAACAATGCCTTCAACGTAACATATATAGGCCTATGTTCAATATAACCATATTGCTGAAGACTAGTTATCTTGAAACGTGTTCAATCTGATAGGAACTATAAATGTCTGTTGAAAAGTGCAAGTTGCAGAACGAAGTTTTTGGTAGTACGTTGCGCAGCCACAAACCGAATCATACTTGAACACAACCAGGAGTTGATGCTCACTGGGATGTGCTGTTTCATTTAACTAGTTAGAATGACGATGGATTTGGACAAAATTCGGCAGATGTTTGGAGTGTTTCCAAGAAAATTGAAGTCACTGCTTTCGATTTAGTAAAATTCTATCTTTTAAGCTGGCAAAGCTTCTGCAAATGTTCAGAAGCTTCCATTTTATGGTTGGTTCTTAGTACTGTTCTTTCAGTTGTTAATAACACACAAGTTACACAAGTGAGAAGTACATACATTATATATGGCTTTCTATTCTACACGTTACGCTCTCTTAAGTGACATTTTGAAGATTTGAATATTGTACAGACTGCGTTGGATATCTCTGTCACTTTTGACCTCGATCACTGTTTTAATTTGCTGCAATTACTTACAGTTTCACAAATGATCCGGTCTATAGAGTGTTAAAGATAACTGTAATGAGTAATGATTATTCTGAATCGATATTTGTGAAGGTGACGTTCCGAAAACTGAAACAAATCAATAAATAATTCACTCCTTGCCTTAATTGTTAATTTCATCACTTCCTGATCGATGTTTTCTTTGTTCCAGTTGACGTACAGAAAGACCATTATAGAACAGTTTGAGATTTTTTCTGCATCCCGTTGGGGACACTAAACAATAGAGGACAAAAGGTTCCCGATGGGGTTTTGGTCCCTGGTTGACACGCCGTGTACAAATCCTGTTGGAGTTCTGCAGAAAAGTTTAGGTCCAGACAAAAGCGAAACAATGCAACGTCCACGGCTACAACTCGGTATAATGTGTGTTCTTGTGGTTTGGTTGAAAAGACGGGAATGATAATTTGTTGGGCGTGAAAATATAACATATCTAGAAAAAAAGACCGTTGGTTAAGAATTGATTGACACGAGTCAACTTTCACAACGTCGCCTGAACTGTTGAATTCGGAACTTTAAAGTGTCGCCGTAGCTCTTCCTGCGGTTTGGCGCTCTTCGTTTGGATGAGTCAGTGTAAACTGTCGACCCATGTCGGTGTCTTCTCTGCTGAGGACAAACCCTCAACACTTGTTGCTGTCCTTTCAAACATCAAGGCACCTTTTGTGAAGATGCTGCCCTACTCAGATTTAAGTTTGGCCACTGTGTGGTTTGCGGGCTGATTAATTTTCATTTTTAAGTGAAATCGAAATTATCATTGGAAAAAGAAAGGGAGGAAAACTGGTATTGTTCCCAACGTTAGTGAAAATATCATGCTCTCACTGTCTGCAGTTTTGGGTAAAAATCCCCCATGTACAGTTGGTCAAGTGTGCTGTTTTTGTTCGTCTGTTTTTACAAAACAACAAAAACGGTAATAAAACGTGAATGCTCTATTTTGAATGTTACGAATGCAGATTATACATTCCCGAAAAGTCGTTATTTCTTGCTGGGAACCCTGGGTGTAGCACCAAATTGGTTATTATGATTTAAATACCAGATTTTGTGTTTGAAATCATCCGAATAGGTATCTTTAGTTTTATATGAACACTGTAATGACACGACCATCTTGTGACACGATTTCCGCTTCAAGTATTCTGATTTAAAGAAAGCAAGAACCACGTTGATGAACGTAGCCTCTGTATTATCATTGGGTCCATTTTGCCGTCACATTTGAGACCTTCTCTTTGTTCTTGTGTTGGTTATTATTTTACCGAAGTTATCTGACTGATGGAAATGGATCGTTGATTAATGAGACCTTCATAGTTTTTGCGGTTTTTCTTTCATATTCCCCTCCCGCTTGTATTGGTCACTTTTCCTAAAGGCACACTTTGCTACAGCTACACACCCTAAATGGCTGTACCCCAGTCGTCATCCTTCGTGACTCATATTGCCTCTTTTTGTATGGAACATTCGTAT